CCCCCTGAACTCCAAGATCATGAGGTAAAGTACCCCTCATATTTTCCTAATATGATTACTCTAATGTTAGTCTGATTCAATTTTATTAATTATTTTTTTTATTTATCAAACTTTTTCGTTTTTTATATTCATAAATATTATCATTATTTGTTAATTATTTATATAATTATTAAGGAATTTTACATTCATTTTAGAATCATTATGTCACCGGTAATAATACCAGGAGGAACTGATATAGTGGTGGTTCTTCTTGGTGGTAAATATCAGCATCTATTAGTTATCCTGAGTATTTCTTAAGATTCCTCAGTATTTCTTAAGATTCCTCAGTATTTCTTAAGATTCCTCAGTATTTCATAAGACACGTCAGCACCCCATATGGTTGTTTTAAAGTGTCTCAGCACGCTTTAAAAGTTCCTCAGCATTCTAACAGTTTCCTCGGTACAACTTATAATCCAGGAAGTTCTCCAATATATATCTCACTATTCTACACATTTCATCAGGTTTCTGTACGTTGACCAGACCACACACTAGAAGGTGAAGGGACGACGACGTTTCGGTCCGTCCTGGACCATTCTCAAGTCGATTGTGAGAATGGTCCAGGACGGACCGAAACGTCGTCGTCCCTTCACCTTCTAGTGTGTGGTCTGGTCAACATTCTTCAGCCACGTTATTGTGACTCATCGCCTGCACAAGTTTCTGTACGATTCCAAATTATTGCTCAAGATTCCTTGATGTACGTCAGTGTTTGTCAAGGTTCTATATTATTTCCCAAAGATTTCTCAGTGTGTCACATTGTCTTCCCGGCTCGGAGTCTTCTTTGGAATAATTACTTCTTGGTGTTTCTCATTACTCCTCTGAATTTCTCAGACTTTCTTGACGCTCTTTAAGGCTCCTTAAGACTTAGCATGCTTTCCCGACAGAGAATTATGTAAGATTAATTTGCAACTTCCCAAACAGAAGCACAGTCTGTGCACTGTATAACAAAGTCAAAGTTGTTGACTTTCAAAGTCAACAACTAAAATTTATGTGATTTTTTTTAGGCATGAAGATCTCTGGATTTTGCTATCGAGATAAAAAAGATCGAATTCAACGCTTTTTGTAGCTAGAGAATTCGGTAAAGCTTGCATATATTTGGTACCAATTACCACATAAGTCTACGGAATGTGCCCTCCATGTTTCATTATCTGACACCTAATCATCTATGTTGATAAATGATATGCTATTACAAAATAAATATGCAATATAATAGGCATTCTTGCAATAGATTTATTACAAGAATATTTGGTACACGAGTTACTTCCTGACAATATGCACTGAATTTCTGTGAAGACACAATTTGCTCAGTTAAACACAGAAGTGGAAAAACAGTTTAGAAGTGGAGCCCAGTGGACTTATGAATACAATTGTGTATGTGTGCTTTTACTTCTTGCACAGTAAAGAAGACAGACATGAATTCCTTAGCTTATTTTGGGGTGAATGTGCAAACCTTCTAGCAGAGAGGAGAGAGAGATATATTAATAATATCTATTATAAATATATCTATAATATCTATTATAATAATAGAATTAATCAGATGTTGAGTGAAAAAGGGAGATGGGAAAACATGAATTTTCAGGGGGTATACGTTTTCTCTTATCTCTGGGCTCTGTCGCCTCCATGAGGTCCCTTTCCTTGTGTATATGTGTGTGTGTGTAATTACCTAAGTGTAATTACCTAAGTGTAGTTACAGGATGAGAGCTACGCTCGTGGTGTCCCGTCTTCAAAAGGAACTGGCATCTTAAACTCATTGCGCACGTGAATATTCATGCCTCCCCGGCGGGGAATTGAACCCCGGTCTCCCGCGTGACAGGCGGGGATACTAACCACTATACTACCGAGGATTTAGGTTGACCAATATATCACAAGTCAAGCCTTGCCTCAGGCCAGGCTTGATTAAAGGAACTCTCAGAACCCACTCCAGATGTGACCTAGGTGTGCGGCATATACGAGAAACCGAATTTACTCTACCTAGCGTCACAAGGTACAGTGGACCATCACACAAGGTACAGTGGACCGTCACACAAGGTACAGTGGACCGTCACACAAGGTACAGTTGACCGTCACACAAGGTACAGTTGACCGTCACACAGGGTACAGTGGACCGTCACACAAGGTACAGTGGACCGTCACACAAGGTACAGTGGATCGTCATACAAGGTACAGTGGACCGTCACACCAGAGATTAACATCCACAGTCATCCAGGATGACGTGAAGGGAATGCTCACAATAAGGTCCTTCCACACCGGCGCACTTCCCCTCCTACACTCTATAACCATCTGTCCTTTCCTAACCCTATATCCACCCCGTCCTCCACGACGCACTAAGTGGGAAACCTTCACTACAGTTGCCGCGACTTCCTTCAGCCTCTCCCTCATTCATCCTTCTTAACACGCCCATGTCGGCCACGGATAAGAAGATTTCCTCCCTCCACAACACTCGCCGGAACAGATTTCTCCCATCAGGCTCCTGATCCCCAGTCGCGTCAACTCTGCCAGAACCTCGGCCTTCCTTCCCTTTATTCCCTACCCTATTATCCTTGCCCTCTCCTCCTTACTCTTCCCCCTCCCTCTTACTCTTTCTCTCCTACTTGTTGCCATTTACTCATCCCTTCCTCATCCAGCCTTCTTCTTCGGATCAGACTGTTAAAGAAGTCGTCCTTCACATATAGCGCCAAGGGCGAGGATGACTGAAAACAGACCAAGATGCGCTGGAAAAATAAGCATAGAAGACACATGTAATCTAACTATACTATCCTAACTATAACATGTATCATGTTATGTTACATGATACAGTTTAGCATGAGCTAAATGAGCTAGTTTAGCATGCTTTAGTATGCGAGAATAGAAAGAGTCGGTCATTCTTCCCATAGTTCACCCTGTCCTCGTACGTTTTCTTTGTTTCATCAGTAAGATCTTCACTACTTATACAGCCATCTCATTTTTTTTAATTGTTTTGACCGCTGATTTGAATGGGAGTTTACTACCGCCATTCTCGAAGAGTTTGTTACTGCTTTTGCTAATATTGTATTGTGTTGTTATTTGTCCTACACGATTGAACCTTCCCCTTGACTTTCTAGTTCTTCAACTTCGATATTCTGACCCTCTCACTCACTTCCCAACTTCTTTCTGCCCAAACTGTTTCCCTGCCTTCCCTCTCCCTCCCTTCCCTCACACTGCCTTCCCTCTCCCTCCCTTCCCTCACACTGCCTAACCTCTCCCTCCCTTCCCTCACACTGCCTTCCCTCTCCCTCCCTTCCCTCACACTGCCTAACCTCTCCCTCCCCACCCTCTCCCTCTCCAATCTCTTCCTGTTCGCGACTCGGATTTGCCTCCTGACCTCAATGACCCCAAACTCGCAATCGCCGATCCTGTGACCTTCGAGTCACTTACCCCCAATACCTCTCACCTCCTCCCCTCCTCCTTCCCATTCCCATCCACCATCCACCCTACCCTTCCATACGACAACCCAATCCCTCCTATCCCCCAACTCCCCGTAATCCATCAAGGTCCAGACGGCAGTCTCCACCACCGTCCCCATCCGTCCAGGAACCCTATTATTCCCTTTGTAGTAAATATTGGAGCGTAAACGAGATTAGTGCCCAAGCCAGTGGGAAAACAATTACAAATGTATTCATGGTATGTGACTGAGTGTTCGGGGCCCAGGAGCCAGCACCCGCCGTGGCGCGTGTCGTCGCGATAGCAAGTCATCCCAGGTGCTATTTCCTGCTGTCTGTGTCTCTCCTCGCACGGGAAATGAATCACTCTGGTATCGTAGCCATGAAGTAATCTGTGTTCCTCCAGCATCCAGATTTAACCCGCCAACTTTATCCCATTTTCTATGATGAGATTCGAGGTTTTAAAATTTTGGGGGTTACCTTGAGCGGATGAGGGTTTCTATTTGTGCGTGGGAGGGATAGGAGGTGGGATAGGATAGGATAGGAGGTGGGAGCGGAGGAGGGGGTTCCATTTGTAGGATGTTAAGAAGCCTTTTATTCCTAGACTGCATTTACAATATTAAAGTATCTTTCACACCAAATTCCAGTTTGTTTATCTTTTCATTTTTATCAGATAACATGTTCAAATCATTTTCTATTACTCTGTCGTATTTCATTGTAAAGATGTGATATAAATTGACCTCAACCACCTTATCGTCAGGTCATTCCCAGTGTACACTGCTCATTCGTACTCTGAAGCAGTACTGCTTTACAGCTTGTGTCCGCCACTTGTATTTCTCACCTGTAACAGTCTCTCTCAAGAGTCCTACACGTATCTGGTATTGTCCAAGTCTCATGTTTCCTGAATTTGCCCTGTGTGTGTAGGTGTTGTGATGGCTGTGGGTGGGTATTGTACGCCTTTGTTCGGTGGCCGGGTTTATGGGTTGTTGGGCGGATTCGTGTAGATTGTTGGGCGGATTGGTGTGGATGGGTGTGTGTGTGTTTGTGAGTGTGTGCGTGTGCCTGTGCACGCAAGCGTGCGAGAGTGTTAGCACAACATGCCTCCCACCCAAATATCGCTCAAGGAACCCTGGGACGAGTCCCCGGACAACTTTTTGCAAACGTGTGGGATTGAACCACAATAACACCTCATCCTTCAGAATCCTTCACATACAGGAGCCTGCGGAAAGTTATCCCTGTCGCCAGCCCACAGAATCAAAAAGTTAACCAGATTTTCTCGTTGCCCCTGAAAAGTATTTCTTATTTTCTATTGTACTTCTTCGGTTTCTTAAATCGCGTAAATCTTTAGCGATCTCCCACGACTCTCGGGACATTCTTAACTGGTGTATGTTATGTGATTTTGTCTTGGAATATATTGAACATTTTCAGTAAGAATAGATCAAGGATTTTACTGGTTATTACTTGTGAAAAAATATTTGCTATTGTTGTAGCTTCTACTACAGCTGATGTTGCAGTGTCTGCACATCCTACTTCAGCTTTAAGTCATCTGTTCCCTGATCATCAAAGATTGTTACTTCAGCTTCTGTTGCTTCTGTTGCTTCTGTTATTGATGCAGCTGCTGCTCCTGATGCTGTTGCTTCTGTTATTGATGCAGCTGCTGCTCCTGATGCTGTTGCTTCTGTTATTGATGCAGCTGCTGCTCCTGATGCTGGAGCTTCTGTTGCTTCTGTTATTGATGCAGCTGCTGCTCCTGATGCTGGAGCTTCTGTTTCTTCTATTATTGATGCAGCTGCTGCTCCTGATGCTGGAGCTTCTGTTGCTCCTGTTGTTGATGTTGTTGCTATCAATCCAACTTCAGTTTAATCTCGTATTGCTGCTGCTATTAATGGTGAAGCTGTTACTGCAACTGTTCCTTCCCTTCCTCATGCACCCTTTCTATTCCTCTTCCCTTTAGCTCATCTCCTTACACTTCATCCTCTTCTTTCTTCCTTCTAGTTCTTGTCAACACTTGCTTTCTGTTGTGCTTTATTTATATTTTTTTTATTTATATATACAAGAGTTCTTACATTCTTGTACAGCCACTAGCACGGGCGTTTCGGGCAGGTCCTTAATCCTAATATTCCCTGGAATACGACCCGCCAAATCGTTTAACAACCAGGGATCATTTTATTGTTGGGTAAACAGAGACTACAGTTAAGGATTGACGCCCAGTAAATCCTTTCCCGGACAGGATACGAACCTCAGGACAAAGCGCTTGCGAAACGCCAGGCGAGTGTCTTACCACTACACCATGGGGACTGTTTTCATGTCCTGTCCTCAGGTCTCGTGCGTCTGGCAGAGTACGATACTTTTGTCAGTATTCACAGGCATCGGACGTGATGTGCGCTGATTGGTCCTTCTTTAAAGTGACCTCCACTAGTGCCTCCTTCTCACTTTAATTCCTAGACTTCATGGTTATAATGATTGCTGATTGGTCCATAAAGGCGTTTGCTGGTTGGTCCTTGTCTCCGTATCGTTTTTGATTCACCTGGACTGGTCGGTATAAACGAACAACTGTCTCGTTTCCTGCAGGGTCGGTGGTCGATCCCCGATGGTCCAGGTGATTGGGCATTGTTTCTTTATTTTTTCGTCATATCCCAGTTCCTGGTCCTCAAATCCCCCGCCCGAGGGCGTATAGTTATGCTGGCATTGTGTTTTGTCCTAATTGCCTAACCTTGCCTCCTGTTTCATCTTCTGATTGGTTCTAGGCTATTTAATTAACGTTAGGCGCTTGTTTGCGTTTGCTTCCTATAGTCATTATTGATTGGTTAACCTTCTGAATAGTTTTTATATTGCCACATATCCACTATACCACTTGCTGATTGGTTCTTGCTAATTATAAAGCTCCCTGATTGGTCTCTGCCAAATTCTGCCCGGTGTATGGGTCTTCGTGTGACCAATCAGAGAGCGACGTATCCCATAGGAGTGGATTCCGGGGGTCTCACGGCACATTAAGGGACCTTAGAGCCGAGCACCAACACACTCAGGCTACCTCCTGATGGGGTTACTGTGTGTAACTGTTACTGTCTTGAGAATAAGTAAGTGGTAGAGAAAATGATTTGTCACTAGATATAGTATGGTGGACATACTATATGGAGAGAGAGAGAGAGAGAGAGAGAGAGAGAGAGAGAGAGAGAGAGAGAGAGAGAGAGAGAGAGAGGAGAGGGGGAAGAGAGGGGAGAGAGGGAGAAGGAAGAGAGGTGAAAGAAGGGGGGAGAATGGAGGTGAAAGTAGGGAAGAAGGAAAAAAAGAAACAGGAGGGGAAAGAAGATTCTGGTGGTGAAGTGTTAAGACGTTTCCTGAATTTATCTGAACATCACCATCAATCTAGTGGTCTCGACGGGGACTGGAACCCGGCGGCTTGTCAAAGGTCACCCAATTTTTTCTATTGATATTTTCTAACTGGACTTTGAACTGCATGAATGTAGTCTTTTTATTCAAAAAATATCTAACAAATTATACTTTTTTTATCCACATCGAGAACGTCTCGACTACGGGTATAGACTGGTTACCCAAAGATTGTGTTGGTGTCTCTAGCTTGCCCTTAGACAGTTCAGTCAGCCACAAGGAGCGTCTTAACGAGTCTCGTTCGCAATAAGGCAATTTGACCAGCCTTAAAGAATGTATTGATGACTTTAACTCATTCTAAAACATTTTAAACAGCTACAAGGAGTGTTAAGATGTCTTTAACTCGTTATCAGACAGTGTGAACAGCCAAAGGAAATAAGTTGATGACTTAACCAGCTACAAAATGTTTGTTGATGCCCAAACCTTGCCCACAGACGGTGTGGAGAGCCCCACAGACGGTGTGGGGAGCCCCACAGACGGTGTGGGGAGCCCCACAGACGGTATGGAGAGCCCCACAGACGGTATGGAGAGCCCCACAGACGGTGTGGGGAGCCCCACAGACGGTGTGGGGAGCCCCACAGACGGTATGGAGAGCCCCACAGACGGTGTGGAGAGCCCCACAGACGGTGTGGAGAGCCCCACAGACGGTGTGGGGAGCCCCACAGACGGTGTGGGGAGCCCCACAGACGGGGTGGTGCTGCCTCCCCTGCCTGCACAACCGCGGCCTCGAAGCATGCATTTACCCATTGATGTATTGATTTAAAGTCTTTCTAATTTTGTCATCATCATCATCATCTCCTTAACTCCCCTCTTTTCAGGCTGCCTTGCTCCTAATACCATTGTCATCCCTTATCTCCCCTCACCCTAAATAGCCTATCTACCCTAAACCCCCCCCCCCTTAAGCTTCCCGCTCTCTTAGTCCTTTCAGAATGCCCAAATGCCCATTTCATCTATACCCTACACCTGCACACTCGCTTTTTTTTCAGTTTATTTCGCCTTACATGTGCTTTCAGTCCCTTCACCCGTCCCCACACTCTCTCCCCCTGTTACCCCTTCCCTATTAACCCCCTTCCCCATTAACCCCCTTCCCCATTAACCCCCTTCCCCACAATTGCCATCCGGCATGACATGGTTGTAGCAATCAAGTATCGAACGGAGGACCATCGGCTCGCTTACCAATCGCGAAGGAAAGTCTAAGCAATCCTACAACATAGGGGTGATGTATCTCTAAATCCTTCCCCCTTTCCCCCCAATCATTTCCAGGCAGGAATGACCGCCAATAACCCCTCCAGAGTTCGCTAATAGACGTCCCCTCGCTAAAGATGTAATTCCTCCCCCCTTCGTGATGTACAGCAAGGCATTGACCATCAATAACCGCGTTACGAAATGTGAAGGCAGCGTTGGGGGGACTGGTTGACGCTGCCGGGGCTGCCACCTGTTGGCTCCTGCCTCTCAATGATTCCCTCTCCCAGACCCCGCTTTTTTTCAATCTTGCACGTAAGCCAATTCCTCTTTTTTCTGTATCTCGCTCCCCTTCTCTCTCTCTCTCTCTCTCTCTCTCTCTCTCTCTCTCTCTCTCTCTCTCTCTCTCTCTCTCTCTCTCTCTCTCTCTCTCTCTCTCTCTCTCTCTCTCTCTCTCTCTCTCTCTCTCTCTCTCTCTCTCTCTCTCTTCTTTTTCGTTATTCCACACTACTTGTCTCATTGTTTTCACTGGTTTCTGTCTCCCTTTCCACATGTCCTGTTCAGTCTACGTGCGCCTACTCCCTCTTGGCGACCCCTCCCTCCAGGATCTTCCTTTCCTCCCTCCATCCCACCCTCCCTCCCACTCTCCCTCTGCCGTGAGTGACGGGTGGCTGCCGTCCCCAAACGTGTATGAGCGTGTCTCCGGCCCCTGCCTTTCACTCTGCCTCTCACTCTCACTTGGGCACCAGGCTGGTGCTGAGTGAGCAACGCTGCGTCCCGCGCTCCGAGACACCCCTCTCCCTCTCCCTCTCTCTCCCTTCCTCTTCCTCCTTTTCCATCTTCTCTTCTCCACAACGTCAGGAGATATCTCTACAGGTGAGGAGATTGCTTGGGAATACGAGGGATACAACTGTATGGCGATTTACACTAAGGATGGAAGACCCAGCGGAGACCACAGGAGACCTTTCGTGAAAATAAGGAGACCGTCTCTAAATGATTAGAAATCTCTCGCTAGAGACCATTGGCGATACCGAAGCTTGGAGATCCTTCGCTAAACAAGTCTAAAGTCATTGAGACATCAGAAACACTCCCAAAATAGAGTCCCTGAAGGCCTGCAAACCCCATAGGAAGCGACAACAGGAGGAGATTAGAGACTCCGGTGAAATGTTGAAGGGACATGGCGAGGGAATATACTTTGACATGAAAGAATATTTTCATGTCAAATGTCGCCATGGCCAGACCGACCACCACCATCACCACGACGACGACGACAAACAAAGCGACAACCACAGCGACAGTGACTACTTCAGGAGGTCACGCAGCAGCGACGACTGCCGGAGTGACTCCACCATCGCCCCCCCAAGTAACACATCTTCAACAACTGTGACAACGACCAAGCCAGCGACGACTACATTATACCACGAACAGCAGCGATGACCGGACACGACGAGGTGTTTACAGCGTGTGTGTGTGTGTGGGGAGCAGGAAACGGCACAAGTGGAATGTCGTTGTGGTTATTGTCGTGTAGTGTCTCCTGCCAGCCTCCTGCTTCTCGTTAGTTTGCCCTGAGGGGTCTTGTGCCCCTCCTCGTCCTTCCCCTCGTCCTTCCCCTCGTCCTCTCCCTCGTTCTCCCCCTCGTCCTCCTCCATTTGCCCGCCTCTCTTCCTCTTTCACCCCTCTTTCTCTTCGCTACCTGAATTATAATGCGCCAGTTCAATATTCTTGATACGTTTCTCAGTAATAGAAAAAGTCAGAGACTGATTCCGTTGAAAACAATCAAACGTATTAGAGTTGCTGTTAAGAAACTTTAAATTGTATGACCTCATTAGGGCAAGGAAATTGAACTTCCCCTTTGCGCAGTGGACAGACGCAGTATCGTAAGGAATGGAGGAACGGGATAAGAATACAGTTATCGTGTGAAGAATATAGGTATCTAGTGACAACTTGTGTGGACATTTAAGGGCCTCGTGAGAAAATTGAGGGTACCGTGAGAAAATTTAGGACACCATGAAAACATTTAGGGTACCATAAGAAAATTGAGGGTACCGTGAGAAAATTTAGGATACCATGAAAACATTTAGGGTACCATAAGAAAATTTAGGGAACCGTGAGAAATTTTAGGGTACCGTGAGAAAATTGAGGGTGCCGTGAACAAAATGAAGTGCATTGACAAGAACCAGAACTTAATGAGTAAAACGAAGGTACATAAACCCATCTATGTGTCGGCAAGGAAAACATTATTAAATGAGGAGAATGCAAATGAGTCACAATGGCTGATGCCATTATCAAGTCCT